GTCGCGGGCCCGCGGCCGGAAGGCGGCCGGGAGAGGGAGCGCTCTCCGCCAGCTCATGAGCGCGGCTGAGCTCTGGAGCTGGGAGATGCGGTAAAGCACAAGCCTGAAATCAGTCACTGAATTAAAAGTTTTCCTCCAAGGCCTCAGCGTGGACAGAGTGGAACCAGCTTCATATGGTGTCGAGGCCGCGGGGCCTGTGTCTGATTTCGGAGTTGAATAGATTTCCCTTTTTCTTGGTGGAATGATAACATTGTCTCCACTTAACTGCATTCCTGTACAATGTGTCAGAAGTGAAAAGGCATTTTGTTAAATTGTTTTATCTGCTGTGTCTGACAACAGGCCAGCCATCAAAGTTTTCTCTCAAGCAACTGAGGATATTTCCTTTGCAGTAGAGTAACGTTTGGTGGACAGCATATTTACATTTAAAATTTCTCATTTGTTCCCAATAGTGATGGCTCCTTGAGATTTGGGGCAGCAGGTGAGGGGGACAATAGCTTCATCAGCCTGAGTATGTACGGGATGCTCCAGGTGGCATCCCCTAGTTTTCTCTGAAATTAAGAAAAAAAAAAACAAACCCCACATCTTTTTACATTATTATTATTATTTTTTTAGTATACTAGTATATTGGAAAAATAGCATAAGTTTGACCTTTTAAAGATAATGTTGGAGACGTTTAGAACCTGACACAGTGATGAAGATGTTGACTTTAACAGTTCTAAAATGTTCCTTACAGTTAATTGAACTGTTTACTAAAAGTCAAATAAATTTATCAGAAAATAGGCATCTGTTTATCTTGCAGTGCCAATGGAGGGGGAGTGGTGGTGGTGTAATGTACCCTCTACACCTACATTTAGTATTTTAAAGGATTGTTTGTGAGTGACAGTTTATGATCTAACTTTTCTAAAGCAGCAATCATCCAACAAAAGGAATCCTGAAAGGAAAGAGAAATACAATAATATATACTTCGTGGTGTGCCTAGTTTCCTGAGTAGGTAAAGGTGATCCACATTTTCTTGCTTACATACTTGTAATTTACATGCTTAAATTATTTATATGATTAACAATTGACATGCTTAAAATGAGTCATATTTCATTATGTACACAATGTACATTGGTTGAATAGTCTGGGAGATACAGATGTAGTTGTTTGAGTCATTTGTTCATTCCACAGAAATTTTTAAGCGTCTGCTGTATGTTCAAGGCATTGTTTTGGGTGCTGGATGTTTAGGAGACCCACTGGCTGCTTTGTGGAAATTGTTTTGTAAGAGTCTAGGACCAGAGTCTCCATGGTCCTCCGTGGTGTGGACTGGTGTGTGGTGCAGTGGGGAGAAAAGGAGGCCTCCGGATGTTGGGTGGCTGGAATTGGGAGGCCCTGGTGGACCTTTAAAAAAATATTAACGGTGATTATTTCACAGTGACTTAGGAGTGTGGAAAAATAAGTGCAATTATCTTAAGGGAGTCTGGGAATGCACCCCAAAGAGAAGTGGCATATGAGCTGAGTTTTGAAGGAAAGTAGATTGCCAGATTGGGAAGGAAGTAAGGGTAATTCTCAGGGTGATGGTAGTATTGGAGTTGGATAAAATGAGAGGGAGGAGTCAGAGATGATTTAGAGGTTTGCAAAATTATTTAAATGCTTTTTAAGTGCAACTCATAGTTCAGAAGGTGAATTTCCTGTTGGGCTTTGTGGTATATAAAGTTCAGCCATTGGATTATAAGACTCTCTGACTCTCAAATGTTTCAAGAACCTGAGGATCTTCTAGGTCTATTTGTATCTTTTTCTCTTAAATTATCAGGTAATGGTTACAATGAAACTTTTTTGTTTCTCCCACCCCATTTAAAATAAGTATGAAGCAATACATATTAACACCTGTTTCAACTTTTAGTTTTTTATCTCTTTCTTACCCTTATTGTTTAACTAGAGGCCTGGTGCATGAATTCGTGCATGGGTGGGGTCCAGTCAGCCCGCCCCAGTGAGAGTGTTGGGGGGCGCTTGGGGGCCAGGCCGGCCAGGGTCGGGGCAGATCCGGTCCTGAATCAGGTTGGTTGGTTGCCGCAGTGCGCATCATAGCCACTGGTTGTTCTGGTTGTTCTGCTGTTCTGGTTGCTGGGCTTTTATATATATAGATAGAACAAGATACATTTTGTATGAAGAATTGGAAATCTGGGAAGCTGTAGAGTGGTGTTTAGGTTGCTAGGTGACATGCATGACAAACTCCCATCTGGTGGGGAAAAATGTGGGAAGATCATGTTTATGGCTTTGTATAAACACCAACTAAACCAAAGAAGGGAAAAGAAGGATAAGAGAAAGAAAGATCCCAAGTTACTGAGGTTTTCTCAGCAGTAAGCATTTTGTGGTGTGTGTTTGGGGTGGGGGTGGGGGGCTAAGTTTTTGGCATTATATTTGAGCTGTTTTCTCTTCAGGTTAAATCAGTTTTTCTGACAGTGGAGTGGTGTGACTTAACAAAAATATCCTCAATAAGCAGATATTTAAAATCTTACACTTAGTCATAACAGTTTTTGTTTAGTGAAAAAAATTTTTTTTTGCTTATGATCACTGACTGGTGAAAATATTTTGGCTGTTCATCCCCATCCATGGATTTTTCTCAAGTGCTTAGAATTGGAGGACTGACTTGCCTGTGTATATGTCTGTTCTACTCTTGCCTGTGGTCTGACTCATCCTTGGTTTCCAATGAACACAGGGAGTGGAGTCCTAGCTGCAGTGGCTTTTAGTGTAGTATGCTAGGGCGTTGTTGAGGACTCCTTAATTCTTAGTGAATCAAGGGTGGCACTGAGTGAGGCTTCCCATTTTTCCTGCTGTGCTTCCAAAGTTAGAAATAAGAAAATCCGCTATGCTTGTTTTAAAAAAGCCTGCTGTGTACAAAATGTCATGCTCTATGAAGAAATAGACTCAATTCTTGCACTCAAGAAACATACAATGTAGGAGTCAGGACAATTATAGAAAACTATAAATAACAGTAGGCTTTAGCATTAATTGGCAGCAGGGTGGTACAGATGGTAATTGCTTCTGGATTCAGAAATGGGAGTGGTCATAATGGCACTGGGTTTGCATTGGGTATAGTGCGAGGAAGTTTTGCCTTGGTTTAAGGCATGCTCCCTAACTGGGACCTCATAAAGCCCATGCATGGCCAGGGCATGTTGGTTCTTTAGGCCTGTAGTGGAGTCCAGGCATGTGTATGTGGAAAGTGTCCGCTTTGATTCTGAGAAGTAGGAGGGAGGGCTTTATAGGATGTGAAGCAGTTTGAACAAAGGTGTGCCAGGCTTTCAAGGCTCTTGTGGTTCCTGTGGAGCATCCGTGTCAGGTGGTGGGTCAGGATCAAGCTGAGGAGGACTGAATGCCAGGGCAAGACAGCATTTTATTCAGCCTGGTGGTTCGGGAAGAACTGGGGTATTTGGGTAGGGCAGCAGTGTGGACAAGTGGTCCTCTGCACAGAGGACTGTGTGTGGGATTCAGCTCTGCTGCTGACTGCTGAGTAACAACATAAAGGGGAAGGAGGTGCTGAAAGGGAGGGAGGTGGGATGGGAGTTGTGGGAACCTCTTAACTCGCTGCTCTCTGGATTGGGTGTGGAGACCTAGGTTTTTTTCACTATTTAATCTTGGGCAAACCAACCCCACAGAGCTTCACTTTCCTCATGTCTAAAATGGGACACTCCCTTGCAGGGTCAAGGTGAGTACCAAACAGGATGGTGAATGTGAAACTCAGTCCTGGATCTGAATCATGAATATGTTTTTACTCACCAAACAGTTTTACTCGATGGGAAACTTTCCCAAGTATGCTATTCCTGTTTGGGTTTTTCCTCATTGCTGGAGAAGGTAGTGTGCATTTTAAAGAATAGGTAACAAATGCTACTGTTTGTCCCAGCAGCATCACAATCAGAAGCGCAAATTGAGTGTGCAGTGTGTGTACTAGTATGAGGCAAGAAGTATAAAAGCCACAGATATTGGCTGTATCATAGCTTGATTATCTGGTGTTTTTTTTCCGACACTGCATCTTGTCCCTCAAGCATGGAAACGTTAGAGCTATTTAAAAAACAACAACCAACTTGAGTTAATGGACAGTAACTTATTTTAAAAAATGTTTTCTTTATTTTTATTGATTTCAGAGAGGAGGGGAGAGGGAGAAATAGAAACATCAGT